CTGATCTGCTTTCCTGATCAGGCAGGAAGTGGTGGTTCTCCAGGTGAGGTCAACAGAGATGTGTACTCCCAGATACCTAAAGCTGGAGACCACTTCCACCGCTGTCCCTCCAATGTGCAGGGGGGGGGGGGTGTCTCCCCCTTCTGAAGTCGATGATCATCTCCTTGGTCTTCTTTGCATTGATGCAGAGGTTGTTTTCTCTACACCAACCCTCCAGATGTTCTACCTGCTGCCTGTAGTTGGACTCATCGTTGGCTGTAATGCGTCCGACCACGGCTCTATCATCCTTGAACTTCACAATCAGACAGCTCGGATGTAGTGCTGAGCAGTCGTGTGTGAGCAGGGTGAATAGGAGGGGGCTCAGCACGCAGCCCTGGGGGGAGCCGGTGCTGCATGGATCCTAACAGACTTTTGTTATCCTCAAGTCATGACTTGAGAATGATACTTAACAGACTTGAAATGTTTTCTTCAGTGACCTCACTCCGACTTGACTGGAACATTTCCGTATCACATAGGAGTCACAGTTCAAACTGTTTGGACACCACTCAAGAGAATCGACTCAAAAATGTTCTTGCGATTTGGACTCGAATTTAATGCAAAATGACTAACCTAAAACATCTGTGACTATGACATGTCAGAAGGTTGAACTTGGGTTGTTCAAAAGACTAAACACTGGAGTCTTGACTTGGGAGACTTGACCTTTGTTTTTAGAGATCAACTCTTAAATATGATGACTTAAAACTTTAACACAAACTGCAATTAAATGTGTCTTTAGTGACTTGCATCTGTTGAGTTGGTATCCTGAAAACTTGCCAAAGTGACCTGAAGGCAGCCTGGAAACCATTAAAACTTCCACTTTATTTTTTGTGACTCAGAGCAACACAAAGCCCTGGAGACATGACTCAGATCTTTCTTCAGTGACCTGGCTTCTGGCAGACTGGACACATAACTGGCACTTCTTCAATTTGCCTGGCACTCTAAACTAAAAAGGCTTCACTGAAGACTTAACCCAATTTTTGCATCATCGTCAGTAAGCTCTTAGCCATTGGTTAGAATCTCTTGTGTAACAATTTTAATTTACAGGACATTGTCAAACTGTGTTACATTTTGTGCAAATTATAAAACGACATGTACAAGTTGGAAATATACAAAGTGTAGATTACTGAGAAAATGTCAAACATAAAAATGATAAATGCACCCTCCATAGATGTGGCCTTGGGCTTTTATTCCTCTATTCATCCTTGAATTAACCAATGAGCTGCTCCCTGATCCCAAACACCTTAAGACTCATAGGTACATGACTGCAGAGCAAAAATTACAGTAAATGATGAGGTAAGATGATGTGAAATGCTGACCCTCCCCTCACCCCTTGATGATAAATGCACGTCTGGTGGAAGCTGTACAGTAGAGAACATCAGAATCTTTGTCCTGGTTTTCTAAGGCATTCCTCAGGGCAGTTTGTCAATCAAAGGGCAGGAGGTCACTGCACTGTAATGTGGAAGGTGAAATGTCACACAAGGTGGACACAAACAGCCATGGTTTTCATTGTCAAACAATGACACCAACAAAGACATTTAGTTTCAGAACTTTTACATCTTTAATCAGATCATTTGTAGATTTCAAGTGAAATCCATCTTAGTACAAGTGAACACGACCTCTCATCACTAGAGGATGTGCCTGTGTTCAGTATTAACCAATCACCTACAAACCAATACCAAGCAGTTGTCACTTTACAAAGGCCACAAATAAACCAAACTCCAATTTAAGTTTGCCTTCAGATTTGTTTTTCAACATTACATTTTAACTGTTTTCAACTGAAATGTACAGATTACAGATTAAAGAAAGATGACAAAATGTAATATCTTGGTGTCACTGTTTCACACAGACGTTTTACAGAGGGGTCTAAAAACTTTGACATATTTTCCTGATCCTCCAGAAGTCCTTTTTTGACATAGAAAACAATGTAAAATGTGTGGAATAATTCTATGTAATGCTCTTCAACAGAAGATCTTCACATCAGTTACTGTGGATGGTCGTTTGAGAGTATGTTTCTGTGGAACACTGTGGTTCAGGAATGTCAATGAACCACAGCTTTGTACCAACAGACACGACATGTTGCATTATTGTTGTTTGTGTAAATAAGCTTGGTCTGTACTGAATCAACTGGGTGAGTACTCTTCAACTCCATTACAGAGCTCAACAATCAATTCATATTCCTCACATTGATAAACTAAACCAACAATAAGCCTATGTACATGACACTGTGTCTCTTAGAAAGCTGCTTTATAACAATCTACATTATAAATACAAAGATTTCAAAGCTCCAGGCTCTGACCCTCCATCAAACTACAGAGTCATCACCAGAGGGAGAGAGAAGGCATGAAAGACTGGGGGAAAAGAAAACAACAACAACAACAAAAACACTGTACCAAAACCTCATCCATGCTTTTATCTCTTCACATTTACTCGCCTCGCTCACGATGGTTAATTTAACAGCAGCAAAACATGGAGCTGTAATACTAGTGATTAAAGCAAATCCCAAAGAAAGTCGTGGAGTAGGTTTTTTTTTGTAACGTACAAAACAATTTAAAAATAAAATTCTGCAATCATCTTCTTTTAGAAATGCAAACAGGAGATGTTTTCTCTGCAGCCATGAACAACAGGTAAGTGTTGAGCTGGTCTGGTGTGACTGGATTAGGAATTAGTGATGGATTAAAGCTCCGAAACCTGTCTCCAGTGGACCAGACCCGTCTGGTCTCACTGTCAGGAGAGTTGGTTCATCCAGAGCCAGTTTAATGCTGAACGTCTTCTCCACAGACTGGTCGTCTGACCTGAAGAAGACAAGACCAGAGAGTACAACACAAACAGTACAACAAAAACAGGAAAAATGTAAAAATTACAAACAACTTGCCCTTTATTACAGCACCAGCAGAAACAACAATCACAAAAAGTAGAAAACATGAATGAATCTATACAGAAATAACAAGAATACAATTATAAAAGAATGTATAATATACACAGAACACATTTAGATATACAGAAACTACAATATTATGAAAGTATAAATAAACATGTACTTTATATATTTTTTATGTATCTTCATGTGGTTGGGGGGATTTTTATGTTTTTTTTTTCCCAGACTACACGTTTCCTGCCTTTCAGTCCTTATCTGTCTTGAGGTTTGAAACAACAGCAGAACCAATGTTTAGTGGAAAGGGGAATCACAAAGCTTTGGTTCAGGAAAACTAATGATTAATGTTCTTAATCGATTAGAGACGATTAATCGATAAATCATTTCAGGTCTAAACTACATGGGAAACTAGGGAAAATACAAATTTGATCATTTTCCTCTTTCTGTTCTGAACATGTTACATTAGGTTTAATAACTATTTACTTTATATCCTGCAGACTGGGTTACCACTCTTATCATGTTTTTACAGCTGCTACTACAGTTAAAACCTCTGTCAGGTCTTTTTTCCAGCCAGATGATTTGCTTGCTTACCGCTTAGTGTTCAGAACAGTATGGTCTTCCCAGCAGTTTTTTCCTGTACGTAGGAAGTGAAGCGCTTTAGAAACTTAGGATACTCTCTCTTGGCCACAGCTCTGAGGACGGAGGCCGGAGCCCAGCCTCCTGGGTTTACTGCAGATACACAGGAAAGAGACACTCCAACACTGAGGCTTGGTACTGACTCAGGAGAATACATGGGTTCACTGCACATGGTTCTACAGTATCCTATAGATAGTGGATGTTAAGAGATGATAAAAAAAATGTAGTTAAACTGACAATAAAAATGCTCTATGTTCTGTTGGCTGCTGTTTTTGTCTTAAGTAAACACTCAGTCACGTACCATTGGCAACGTAGGTGATCTTACAAAGGATGTTGTCTCTGCTTATCTCCTTATCACCCTCTGGTGGGCTGACCAGAGTTTGGCAAATCATAGCAACATTGATTTTGGCACGAACACACCTGTTTGTGGGCTACAGGAAAGAAAAAAGTCAACAATGTCTGAACTGCCGAGCATGGCACCAGAGTGGAAATCCTTCAAATCCTTCTTTCTTTGACTTTACAAAGGTTTTCACAAATACACTAATAATAATAAGACAGAGGTGTTTACCCCAAGAAGTACATTTCAGTACACTTACAGGGGTGTCGTTGTGGTCCACAGAGAAGTTACAAACCAACCATGTGTCAGGATCATTTTCATTTGTTGCTATGATCTTCCTCATGGCGGACAAATACAGCACATCTCTCTGAGAGGCCGGCCACACTCTCTGAAATACACACACACACAGCCTTGATGATGACAGGAAGAAGGTAATAGGATATATTACCTTTTCCTCCACAAAAGGCTTTTTACTTTCTGTCTTCAGCATGTTTATATAATTTAACATCTTAGACATTACATTTCTTTTTCTAAACTAATTTTATAATAATACATCAGATCAATTTAGTTGCTTGTGTAAATGTTCTCTGCAACAAACAACAATTCTGCTTCTCATTCTCCATACACTTTGGCAGTAGAAGTATTTACCTTGTGTGTCTGGTAAACAATTGTTGCGTTGTCAGAAAGTGTCTCCACCACATTGAAGTTTTCAATGGTGGCTAAGGAGAAAAACACAGTACACTTAGGATGTTACACTCTGAGAACCTACAGGTGTAACGTGTCACACACTTCTATACAGGAGAACCTACTCTCCCAGTCCATTCGAACATCCGTGTCCCAGAAATAGTGACAGACCTCGTGTCCTGTCACACCCTTCACTGAATGCGTGGCTTTGAGTGGATCCAAGACAATACCATTCTCTTCCACCTCTCTCCTGTACACCTGCATCAGACACATAACACAGCATCAGACACAAGTATTCACCAGGACATTTGTAGGACATTTTTAGACATTCAATAATACTAATCCTTCACCTTTCTAATCCAAAGCAAAGAAAACTGTTCTTTACTACAGCTGTACTTTACATTTTATACATTTACCAGATTACCTCTATGTTTATGTTTTTTAGAAAATGACAAAGAGGAGCTTGAGGTCGTGGGTAAGAGAAACAAACAGTCTATGTCTTGGACCAATGCCAGCACCACTCTTCAACTGGAGCATCTGAAAAGACACCAACTCTAACGACAAAGTCAAATGTGAAACTGAAGAGCTGCTTGGAGGTGACAGAAATTTGATTGGTTGGTAGCATCACATGGGACACTGCATTAGCTGGAAGGACAGAAGTGATGTTCTGTTTGCATTTATTTAAGTATCGGGAAGAAAAAAGGAGGAATATTTTTACAGGATAACTTGTTTCCGGGACATGACTTTTTCCCTTATTTTCCATTTTGTTTATTTGATGATTGGTCACTAATTTTCCAAATTGTCCAGAATGTGTAGGGTTTCTTGTTATTTTTTATGTTTAAAATGTGCAAATGAAAAAAATGAAAACATTTTTCACCTTAAGATTCTCTCACAATAAAATAAATTATTTTTCCATATATATATCTGTGTTTTTTCTGTCACTATTAGCTAACAAATGTGGGCCTGTACTTCCTGTATTCCCTGGTAGTAACATAATTCCTGAGTTCTTTTAAAACTACAAATGTTATATAATCTGCCCTAATTAAAAACCAAGGGAAATGATTCATGAGCTGCTTCTCTCCTCCAGACTCACCTTCATCTCTCCTTCTTCTATCACCAACTGCCAGTTGGCATCTCCACCCACGTCCTGTAAAGAGTAAGTCATATGGTTCTGCACCATCTCCTCCACCTAAGAGACATTGAGATATTGATAAGCATTACTTCTGTCCTTCACATGTTTGACTGAAGGCATGCTACAGAAAACAAACAAAAAAAATGGCAAAAACAAAAGTTTCACTACAATCTATAATACAGTGGAATGAAAAAGTTTGGGCACCCCTGATAATTTTCAAGATTTTCCTTTATGGATCATTAGTTGTTCGGAACATCAATTAAATATATCATATAGCAAACAAACACAGTGATATTTAAGAAGTGAAATGAAGTTTATAGGATTTACAGAAAGTGTGCAATAATTACTTAAACAAAAGTAGGCAGGTGCATAAATTTGGGCACCCCAACAGAAAAATTACATCAATATTTAGTAGATCCTCTTTTTGCAGAAATAACAGCCTCTAAACACTTCCTATAGCTTCCAATGAGGGTCTGGATTCTGGTTGAAGGTATTTTTTAATCATTCAAAACATCTCCAGTTCAGTCAGGTTTGATGGTTTCCGAGCATGGACAGCCCGCTTTAAAACAGACCACAGATTTCCAATGATATTCAGGTCTGGGGACTGAGATGGCCATTCCAGAACGTTGGACTTGTTCCTCTGCATGAATGCTTTGATAGAATTTGAGCGGTGTTTAGGCTCGTTGTCTTGTTGAAGTATCAAGCCCCGGCGCAACTTTAACTTTGTCACTGATTCTTGAACGTTGTTCGCAAGAATTTACTGATACTGACTGGAATCCATGCGACCTTCAACTTTAACAAGATTGCCAGTACCTGCACTGGCCACACAGCCCCACAGCATGATGGAACCACCACCAAATTTAACTGTGGGTAGCAAGTGTTTGTCTTGGAATGCTGTGTTCTTCTTCCGCCATGCATACCGCCCCTTGTTATGTCCAAATAACTCAATTTTAGTTTCATCAGTCCACAGCACCTTATTCCAAAATGAAGCTGGCTTGTCCAAATGTGCTTTAGCATACCTCAAGCGACTCTTTTTGTGGCATGGGCGCAGAAAAGGCTTCTGCCGCATTACTCTCCCATACAGCATGTCCTTGTGCAAAGTGCGCTGAATAGTTGAACGATGCACAGTGACACCATCTGCAGAAAGATCATGTTGTAGGTCTTTGGAGCTGGTCTGTGGGTTGAGTTTGACTGAGTTTGACTCATCATCCTTCGCCTCTGCTTATCTGAGATTTTTCTTGGCCTGCCACTACGGGCCCTAACTGTGCGTGGGTGCGTGGGTATGGTCTTCCATTTCCTCACTATGTTCCTCACAGTGGAAACTGACAGCTGAAATCTCTGAGCTAGCTTTTTGTATCCTTCCCCTAAACCATGATGTTGAACAGTCTTTGTTTTCAGGTCATTTGACAGTTGTTTTGAGGCTCCCACGTTGCCAGTCTTCAGAGAAGATGCAAAGGGGAGAACAACTTGCAACTGGCCACCTTAAATACACTTTCCCATGATTGGCTTCTCCTGTGTATGTAGGTCAAGGGTCAATTAGCTTACCAAACAAATTTTGTGTTCCAATAATTAGTGCTAAAGGTATTCAAATCAGTAAAACAACAAGAGTCCCCAAATTTATGCACCTGCCTACTTTTGTTTAAGTAATTATTGCACACTTTCTGTAAAT